ATGCTGGGCAGGGATGCTGGGTGACAGGGGAGGGCGGAGCTGGCACACTTCCTTCCTGCATGCTGGACAGCACAAACGGAGTGTCCAAAGGGAGCAGAAAACCAGAATCAGGTCCTTCGCCCCCTGGTACCTTCATTCAGGGCTGTTTCCTGATCTTACTGAAGTGAAGGTTTATCATCTCGCGGGACATCAAAGGACAGCGTTTCTATGGTTTTTATAGAGAGATTTGTTTTTTTACAAGAGAGAAAACAAGAGTCAAACTTCTGGTGGGACTGGGGGGCTGGCACCTTCCTCTGGTGGCTGCCTGTGTCTGTCCCAGGACAGTGAGCTCCTACTGAGTCCACATACGTTCACATGTTTACAAATAAATACGCTTGTGCATGTGTGCAAACGGTCTGGCTGTGGAAAGGTTAGAGAAGAGAGTCGCTAAGGGAAACCAGAAGGTGCTATGGGATTCTAGAGCTGAGAGAAGGCTCTGTGGGAGATGGGATCGAGACACACTCAGAGCTCACTCAGGGCCACATGGTCTCCTCACCCCAGGCTAGTGCCCTCCATGCTTACCCAATACTGCTGATATCAACAAGGAGGCTTGATTAAAGATCTGTTAGTGCCCTAAGGCCGCCGTAACAAAATACCACCAACTGGGTGGCTTATAGCAACAGAACTTAATTCTCTCATGGCTCTGGAGTCTAAGAGTCTAAATCAGTGTGTTGGCAGAGCCCTGCTACCTCTGGAGGCTCTAGGGAAAGATCTTTTCCTGTCTCTCCCCCCGCTTCTGATTCCTTGGTTTGCAACTGACCACAGCTTTATTCCACTTCTCTGCCTCTGTCTTCATATGACCATCTCCTCTCTCTGCCTCTTCTGTTTTACAAGGGCACCAACCACATTCGATTAGTGCCCACGCTATCCAGAAGGAGCTCATCTTAGCATCTGAGAAGACCCTATGAGTTGTGGCATGCCCATGAACCAAGGAGTAGGACTTCCTGTCTTGTTGGGGGCACAGTCCAGTCCATAACAAATGACAAGGTGAAAAGAAGAGGTAGCTTAGCTTTTGCTAACTATTTAGAAAACAGATGTGCGGCCCCACTATGAGACATGACATCCCTCACTGACCCATAACTCTACAGCGGACAACACTGGAGAGACAGTGCGGGAATTGTGCCGGATCGGATCCCGCCACATTGAGGCAAAACACTAAGGGTGTGCAACAGAACAGCAAGGGGAACAGAGCAAGGAAGTCCCCAGGGAATACCAAAAATGGACTGTGGGACCAGGGCATGGCACCCCATCAGCCTTGACCTGAAAACACTCCTAAAGGTCAACAAGCAGATCTTGGACTATTTACAGGCTTTTCTTTTTTTTGTTATTGGTTTGTTGTTGTTTTGTTTTCTTTTGTTGCTTT